CCTGTATTTCTACCTCTACCATTCTACTCACCTGTATTTCTCTGCCTCTACCTGTATTTCTCTGCACCTCTACCTGTATTTCTCTGCCTCTACCTGCTATTTCTCTGCCTCACCTGTATTTCTCTGCCTCTACCTGTATTTCTCTGCCTCTACCTGCATTTCTCCAGTCTCTACTGTATTCCTCTGCCTCTACCGGTATTTCTCTGCCTCTCACCTGTATTCTCTCTGCCTCTACCTGCATTTCTCTGCCTCTATCTGCATTTTCTGCTCTACCTGTATTCTCTGCCTCCCACTATTCTCCTCCTCTACCTGTTTCTCTGCCTCACCTGTATTTCTCAGTCTCTATCTGTATTTCTCTGCCTCTACCTGTATTTCTCTGCCTCTCTACCTGTATTTCTCTGCACTGTATCTTCTCTTCCCTCTACCTGTATTTCTCTGCCTCTACCTGTATTTCTCTGCGTCTACCTGTGTTTCTCTGCCCTCTACCTGTATTTTCTCTGCCTCTACTGTATTTCTCTGCCTCTACCTGTATTTCTCTGCCTTTACCTGTATTTCTCTGCCTCTATCATGTTTCTCTGCACCCTCTACCTGTATTTCTCTGCCTCTACTGTATTTCTCTGCCTCCCCTGTATTCTCCTGCTCTCTACCTGTATTTCTCTGCCTCCCTGCCTGTATTCTCTGCACTCTACCTGCTATTTCTCTGCACTCTGTAGCATTTCTCTGCCTCTACCTGTTGTTTCTCTGCCTCTACCTGTATTTCTCTGCCTACCTATGTATTTCTCTGCCTCTACCTGTATTTTCTCTGCCTCTACCTTGTTCTCTGCCCTCCCTGTGACCCTCTACCTCTATCTATGTATTTCTCTGCCTCTACCTGTATTTCTCTGCACCTCTACCTGTATTTCTCTGCCTCTACCTGTATTTCTCTGCCTCTACCTGTATTTCTCTGCCTCTACCTGTATTTCTCTGCCTCTACCTGCTGTTTCTCTGCCCTCTCTGTATTTCTCTGCCCCTACCTGTATTTCTCTGCCCCTCTACTGTATTTCTCTGCCTCTACCTGTATTTCTCTGCTCCCTACCTGTATTTCTCTGCCTCTACCTGTTTTCTCTGCCTCTACCTGTATTTCTCTGCCTCTACCTGTATTTCTCTCTACCTGTATTTCTCTGCCTCTACCTGTATTTCTCTGCCTCTACCTGTATCCTCTACCTCTATCTGTGTTTCTCTGCACTCTACCTGTATTTCTCTGCCTCTACCTGTATTTCTCTGCCCACCTGTATTTCTCTGCCTCTACCTGTATTTCTCTGCTCTACCTGTATTCTCTGCCTCTATCTGTATTTCTCTGCCTCTGTATTTCTCTGCCTCCTGTATTTCTCTGCGTCTACCTGTTTCTCTGCCTCTACCTGTATTTCTCTGCCTCTACCTTGTTTCTCTGCCTCTCCCTGTATTTCTCTGCCTCTATCTGTATTTCTCTGCTGCCTCTCACCTCTATTTCTCTGCACTCTACCCTGTATTTCTCTGCCTCTACCTGTTTCTCTGCACTCTACCTGCTTATTTCTCTGCCTCTACCTGTATTTCTCTGCCTCTACCTGTATTTCTCTGCCTCTACCTGCTGTTTCTCCTGCCTCTCCTGTATTTCTCTGCTGCCTCTATCTGTATTTCTCTGCCTCTACCTGTGTTCTCTGCCTCTACCTGTATTTCTCTGCCTCTACTGTATTTCTCTCCTCTACCTGTATTTCTCTGCCCTCTACCTGTATTTCCTGCCGTCTACCTGCATTTCTCTGCCTCTACCTGTTCTCTGCCTCTACCTGTATTTCTCTGCCTCTCCCTCTTATTTCTCTGCCTCTATCCTTGTTTCTCTGCCTCTACCTGTATTTCTCTGCCTCTACCTGTATTTCTCTGCACTCTGTATTTCTCTGCCTCTACCTGTATTTCTCTGCCTCTACCTGTATTTCTCTGCCTCTACCTGTATTTCTCTGCCTCTCCTGTATTTCTCTGCCTCTACCTGTATTTCTCTGTTTTACATAACTCTATCCCCTCTCTGTATTATTAATGTTAATATGTTTTGAGTTGGTTTAAGTGTGATGGGTACCTCCCGGTGTGTGTGTGTGTGTGTGTGTGTGTGTGTGTATGTGTGTGTGTGTGTGTGTGTGTGTGTGTGTGTGTGTGTGTGTGTGTGTGTGTGTGTGTGTGTGTGTGTGTGTGTGTGTGTGTGTGTGTCTGTGGTCACTACCCCGCTACTCACATATAACAGAGCTCAAGAACTTACTGTAACAGGAACAATAAAAGTTCTTAAAAAGTTCTAATAGCCAGTCCTTTGTTCTCTAGGCCTAGTAGTCCCCCCAAACGCCCCAGTACCCAAACCAGCCCCAGTTTAGCCCCAAACCAGCCCTAGACCAGCCCTCCTCCCCTTACCCTTAACACCTCCCGTCTTCTAACTAAACCATCCCTCCTCCTCAGCCCTCCTCCTTCCTGCCTGCACCAGCCCTTCAGTCCTCCTAGCCCCTTCCAGCCCAATTTGCTCCCCTTCCACCCCCCCATAAGCCCTTCAGACCCTCGTTAAGTCCCATCTTCTGGGTCTGACCGAGTTTCTGGATTTTTGGTCAGCGATTAATACCCGGCCATTCTCCGTGTCAGATCTCAACAATACGTGAGAGTGTCTCTCATTTCTCGAATTCTTGGCAGTGATCCTGATAGGGGTAGGGAGATCTTGAGGGGAGGAGATCTTGATGGGGAGGAGATCTTAGAGGAAAGAGATCTTGATGGGAGGAGATCTTAAGAGGAAGGAGATCTTGAGGGAGATCTTGATGGGGAGGAGATCTTAAGAGGGAAAGAGATCTTGATGGGAGGAGTCTTAGAGGAAGGAGATCTTGATGGGAGGAGATCTTGAGGAGATCATGATGGGAGGAGATCTTCATGGAGAGGAGATCTTTAAAGGAAGGAGATCTGATGGGGAGGAGATCTTGATGGGAGGAGATCTTGAGAGGGGAGATCTTGAGAGGGAGGAGATCTTGAGGGAGATCTTGAGAGGAGATCTTGATGGGAGATCTTGGAGGGGAGGAGGGGGAAATGTTGGTGAGGGTGGGGAGTGAAGAGAGAGGAAGGTGTCGCGTTCTCAAAGGTTGGCACGTTTATATTTCCCTCGTGACGGGAGACAAAAAGAGACACACACACACACACACACACACACACACACACACACACACACACACACACACACACACACACACACACACACACACACACACAGTATCAAAATCCAAAATACCCCATTCCCACTTTCATTCCCATTCCAGCTTTTGACCAACCTATTCATTCCTACTTTATGTCCCATTCCTATTCAAATCCACCCCATTACCAATTTCATTCCCATTCCAAATCCCGACCCCAAGTCATTCCCATTCCCACACATTCCCATTCCGTCGGTATCAGTTATTAACTCTCTCTCTCTGTTCGTTTTTATCATCTTTTTCTATCTCTCTCTGCCTCTACAAACTTTTTCTTATCACATCTTGATATCCTAACAGAGAGAGAGAGAGAGAGAGACATCCCACCCACACACACACACAGACGAACAACAAGACCTTGAACTGATGGTTGAGACAGTTTGCGAAACAGATTTGTATATCCATTTGCATAATAATTAGATGTTGTTTTGCATAATAAATCGACAACCTGAGAGCAGCAAGAGAGAGAGAGAGAGAGAGAGAGAGAGAGGGGGGGGGGGGGGGGGGGGGGGGGGGGGGGGGGGGGGGGATTGGCCACAGTGTTTTCTAATATTTACCTCACCGTATTGTTCTCACACACAAACACACACACACACACACACACACACACACACACACACACACACACACACACACACATACACACACAGACCTGACCTTTTTAACAATATAACTGAGCCCTCTCCCTCCACCTCCCCTAAAAATTAAGACCTCACCTTAATTAAAAAAAGGCTGTGTGTATCGCGTACCTGGAGTCATTAAGGTGAAAATTAGACCAAAGAAATAAAGGGTTGAAGCACAGGTGATAACAGTGATGATTACATGAAGGTGTAATTATGGTGGAGTGGGATTACAATAATTACCAGCTGTTATGATGGTTATTATTTGTGGTTGTGGTTAGTGTACGTGTTGTAACTATGTTGATCTTATTGTTGTTGTTATTGTTACTGTTATTGTTGTTGTTCTTAGTGTTGTTAGTGTTATGGTTATTGTTATTGTTGTTATTTTTATTGTTGTTATTGTTATTTTTATTGTTGTTGTTATTGTTACTGTTATTGTTGTTGTTCTTATTGTTGTTAGTGTTATTATTATGGTTATTGTTATTGCTGTTATTTTTATTGTTGTTGTTAGTGTTATTATTATGGTTATTGTTATTGTTGTTATTTTTATTGTTGCTATTGTTATTATCGTTATTATTAGAAGTAGTTTTAGTGGGGTGAAGGGTGGTAATCGTAGTAGGTAGGGGTAATTACCATTGTGAGAGGTTGCATATAGCAGAAAGTAGTTAAGGTTAGTGGCAAGTGAAACCGACGATGGGTAATAACGGTCAAAGAGAGTGTGGTGGGAAGTAGGGGAGGCAGTACTGAGGAGGTAATGACTAGAAAGAAGTGATAATTAGCGACCAGAGGGAAGCGTTCTCCAGTAGTGTTATCGGAATGGTGTAGGTGGGCAGTGGCGTGATGTAGAGGGTGGTGAGAGAGGTGTAGTAGTAGTGGTAGTAGTGGTAGTAATGGTGGAAGTAATGGTGGTGATGGTGGTAGTGGTGGTAGTGGTGGTAGTGGTAGTAATAGTAGTAACCCCTAACCCACCACAAACCCACCACCACTAACGCACCAACTCTAACCAACAACCACTAACCCACCACCACTAATCCACCCACTAACCCACCCGCTAACCCACCACCATTAACCCGGCATCATTAACCCACCCCAAGAAATATTTCCAGCCTTTGAATGTCTGTATATGTCTTTTTAACAACATTTCCAATATGGCCGACAGCAGTTACAACACCCGCCCACCAGCAGTTACAACACCCCGCCCACCAGCAGTTACAACACCCCGCCCACCAGCAGTTACAACACCCCGCCCACCAGCAGTTATAACACCCTGCCCACCAGCAGTTATAACACCCCGCCCACCAGCAGGTTACAACACCCTCGCCCACCAGCAGTTACAACACCCCGCCCACCAGCAGTTACAACACCCCGCCCACCAGCAGTTACAACACCCGCCCACCAGCAGTTACAACACCCCGCCCACCAGCAGTTATAACACCCGCCCACCAGCAGTTCAACACCCGCCCACCAGCAGTTAGCACACCGCCCACCAGCAGTTACAACACCCGCCCACCAGCAGTTACAACACCCGCCCACCAGCAGTTACAACACCCCGCCCACCAGCAGTTACAACACCCGCGCCCACCAGCAGTTACAACACCCGCCCACCAGCAGTTATAACACCCTGCCCACCAGCAGTTATAACACCCCGCCCACCAGCAGTTACAACACCCCGCCCACCAGCAGTTACAACACCCCGCCCACCAGCAGTTACAACACCCCGCCCACCAGCAGTTACAACACCCCGCCCACCAGCAGTTACAACACCCTGCCCACCAGCAGTTACAACACCCCGCCCACCAGCAGTTATAACACCCCGCCCACCAGCAGTTATAACACCCTGCCCACCAGCAGTTACAACACCCCGCCCACCAGCAGTTACAACACCCGCCCACCAGCAGTTACAACACCCCGCCCACCAGCCGTTACAACACCCCGCCCACCAGCAGTTACAACACCCCGCCCACCAGCAGTTACAACACCCAGCCCACCAGCAGTTACAACACCCCGCCCACCAGCAGTTACAACACCCGCCCACCAGCAGTTACAACACCCCGCCCACCAGCAGTTACAACACCCCGCCCACCAGCAGTTGTAACACCCTGCCCACCAGCAGTTACAACACCCGCCCACCAGCAGTTGTAACACCCCGCCCACCAGCAGTTACAACACCCCGCCCACCAGCAGTTGTAACACCCGCGAGAGAAATATGCAAAATCTTCTTCAATACTCGATACTGCCACGCCTCCCCACGCCTTCCCACGCCCTCTCCGCGCCTTCCCACGCCCTCTCCGCGCCTCCTTTGTTTTTTGTGGGTGTCGGTCTGAAGTGAAGCTCCTGTGGGTTAGTTTGGAACCGAATCTTCTCTCGGTCTTCTTATTCTGGGTTTCTTCTGTCTGTCTGTCTGTCTGTCTGTCTGTTCTGCCCAGCCAGGGTAGACGGTCCAACTGAAGCCTCATTATCTGTCAATTGGTAGAGGATTACGAGTGGGTGGCTGGGCGATGTATATGTGATGTGATGTGGGTGGGTGGGTGGGTGGGTGGGTGGGTGGGTGGGTGGGTGGGTGGGTGATGGTGGGATGTCGATGGATGAGTGGATTATGTAGGTGAATGAGTAAGTAGTGTCTGTATGGGTGAGTGGGTTTATGGGATTACAGGCATGGGCAAGCATGGGCAGACACAGTTTAACCAGATAAAATGTAAAAAAAAAACCCACTATCGAAACTTGATCTCCAAACTTAACCCAACCTAACCAAACCAAACCAAACCAAACCAAACTTAACCTAACCTAACCAAATCTAACCAAACCAAACCAAACTTAACCTAACCTAACCAAACCTAACCAAACCAAACCAAACTTAACCTAACCTAACCAAACCTAACCAAACCAAACCAAACCAAACTTAACCTAACCTCCAACCAAACCAAACCAAACTTAACCTAACCTAACCAAACCTAACTAAACCTAACTTAACCTCACCCAAGTTCATCAAAGCCTTCAGGTACAACACCTAAACGACGCCATTTCACCTCACCATCTTCCTATCACCAAAGAGTTACGACCTTCAACTCATAAATTCAATTAAGATTTTGTTTTTAACTTACGAGTCGTTGAGAATTTGTGGATTTACGATTAAAGTTTGATTAATTAAAGAGAATATCGAGATTGACTTTAATTGGAGGGATGAACCTTACTAATGAGAGGATTTTTCGTAATTAAAAGGTAATTTTGGCATGTAAATCCCAGTATCAGGTAATTGACAGGTATTTTTGACAGATATTTCTCCCAACTGAAGAAATTGACAGATAACTTGGCAGGTATTTCTTAGTTACAGGTAATTAATAGGTACTTTTGACAGGTATTTCTCGCTTTTCAGGTGATAGACAGGTAACTTGACAAGTATTCAACAAGTGTTTTTAACAGGTATATAAAAAGTCTCTTTTTGACAGGTATTCGACAGGTGTTTTTTGACAGGTATATATTCAGTCAAGTAAGCTTTATTGTGCGGACGGAGAGTTGACGGCTTAACTGGGCGCTGTCAATCAACGCTGTGACGGTGGTCGTGTGTATTTCATGAGAGAGAGAGAGAGAGATCTGTCTCTCTCTTTCTTTCTGTCTTCATTTTAGAGAATAGGTAAAATAATGCAAAAAAGATATATTTAAAGCACACACACACACACACTTAAATTGGAAACCACACGTCAGTGAAGTTGTCAAATCCTCCAGTTTCCGTCTCCACCTCCTCCGCCGACTCAAGTCCTGGAGTTCCTGCACACGAGCTCCCAGTGTATACACAACATTCATACTTCCTGCTCACTCTATGCCTCCCCCACCTGGTCTTTCTCCCTAAAATGCCACACAACGTAAACACCTAGAAAAGTGCAAAGAGGGCATGCAAGATTATTCTCTCCCTTCCTACTCCACATATCAAGAAGGGCTGCAACACTGACCCTTTCTGACTCTCACTGACCATCACCACGGCCTCATCTGCAAATTTGTAAGAAGCTTCTACACCATCCCCGACACCGGCCCCTACTACCACCTGAGATCCCTGTCCGAGAATTGCTGTTCGACACCACAACCGCATCCAGCCCATACGTGCACGAACTGATCGCTATAAGAACAGCCCAGTCCCAACCATTGTAAAAATTATCAATAACATGTAATAAATCAGTGTATCACTCCAGTAAACACTCGCTCTACACTGTCACTATGTTTGAAATGAACTGTAGTTTGAGCTGATCCCCATCTGCTTATTATATGTCTTATTTATGTCACTTATGTCACTTGTATATTATTTGAACCTTGTAACCCATTCCCCAAATATGTAACTGTATATTTTTCAGCCTTCTGGCTGCCAAGCTCTTTTCTCATAAACCGTTAATTATATATTATTATTATTATTAAAACACTGTCACACACGCACACACTAAACATACTAACACACACACACACACACTCTAAAACACTGTCACACACGCACACACCAACATACAACACACACACACACACACACACACACACACACACACACCTGTTACACGCACACACTACACACATACTACACACACACACACACACACTTAAATGCACACACACACACACACACACACACACACACACACACTCAAACACACACACACACACACACACACACACACACACACACACACACACACACACACAGACACGTGACACACAGAGCTGCTGGACCATAAGATACACTGACAGTAATGTCTTCTGACGGCACATTTTTCCTGGAGTGTCACTTTGTGTGTGTGTGTGTGTGTGTGTGTGTGTGTGTGTGTGTGTGTGTGTGTGTGTGTGTGTAGTAATACGTAACTGAACGAAGTATAACAT